TGATTTTTTGGAGCTGTTTTTCACAGAAGATCTGTATGCAATGATTGTGGATCAAAGCATTTTATATGCACAAGAATTTAACGCCGCCAACCCAAATTCAAACCTTGCCAGACCATTTGCATGGAAACTTTTAAAAAATTTTTTGGCCCTAACCCTGAACATGGGCATTAAAAAAAAAATAAATCGCGGTTGTATTGGTCCACAGACCCCATTCATCATATGCCTGTGTTCTCTGCTGCCATGGCCAGGCATAGAGTATAATGTGTTTTATTCATTTCAACGAAAATACACTCTGTCGTCCTTGGGTTGACCCTGAAGTTGACTGGCTCCTCAAAATTCAACCCCTCACAAATCACCTTAACCAAAAATTTGCAGATGTTTATACTCCCCTTCAAAAAATCTGTGTTGATGAGTCCCTCATTAATTTTTCTGGCCTCCTTACATTCAAACAATTTCTCCCCAGCAAGCATGCCAGATATGGGGTCAAGATGTAGAAGACCTGTGAAAGGACAACAGGCTATACTTTCGTTTCGGATTTACGAGGGAAAAGATAGTCACGTGGAGCCCCCAGATGCCCAGACTACATGGGGAGTAGTGGCAAGATAGTTTGGGACTTGGTGTCATCCTTTTTCATATGGGGTACCACTTATACATGGACAATTTTTTATTCAAGTGTGCCACTATTCAGACATTTGTACAATCTTGGAACTGGCGCATGTGGCAAAGTGTGACCTAATGTGTGCCCACCATTAGAAGTGGGTGGATGCAGGGCGATATATTCCAATGGTGGGCATAACACACACTTTTTCTGTCAGAGATTTCTTCTCTTTTTTTTCATTCAGTCCACAGGCTGCATACAAAAAAAAAAAAAAAAACATAGGATATACAGTAATACCTCAGTTTACGAATGCCTCTGTTAACGTAATTTTCGCTTTACGAATGAAAATCCATTGAAAATAATGCCTCGGTTTACACATTTTTTTACAAATTTTTTTCACAATACTAAGTGTATGTCAGTGCTGATTTTTAAATGCAATTACCGTCTTTTTTTTTCTTCACTATAGCTCACAACATTAGCTGTCAGTTTCCCCGGAGCTAAAGGATACTTTGTATCTTTTAAGAAACTGAAAGGAAACATTGTTTCTTTTAACTTGGGGAAATAAACTAAAAGAAACTTTCTCTCTTTTAGATGGAGGGGGAAAATGACTGCTGAATTTCTGAACTACTGTATAGTGAACCCCCCCCCAAAAAAAAAAACGGTAATTACATTTAAAAACTGGCATCTGACAGCTGAGTGAATTGCTGGCAATTACTTTTTTTTTTTTAATTGCCAGCAATTCTTTTACATTCAGCTGTCAGTGGGGAACCCCGCTTACAGCTGAAACATTACCACATGGTTGTCACTACTAAAATACCGCATGAGTTAATAAAATAACTCATGCAATATTTTAGTAGCGTTTACTGTTTTTCTGACCTTTGGAACAGATTAATTGGTTTTCAATGCATTCCTATGGGAAACAGTTTTCGGTTTACGAATTTTTCGCTATGCAAAATGTCCTGCAGAACGAATTAAATTCCTAAACCAAGGTACCGGTACATCACTGGACTTTGAATGGTTATACCAAGATGATGCCTACAGCTGCAGGCATCATCCTGGTATAGTTTTTTTTCAGCCGGCGATCGGCTTTCATGTAAAAGCAATCCTAGGGGCTAATTAGCTGCAGGATTGCTTTTACAAGCAGCGGGAGATAATGCCCCCTCCCCCCACTGCCTTCCACAGCCTTCTCGAGCAGTCCCGTGCATTGGGGCAACCTGAGAATGCAGCAGGTGTTTCTGCCAGCTGACCATAGAGCTGATTGGAGACCAGAATGGTGCCAATCATCTCTATAGTCTAAGAATTTGGAAGCTATGAGCATTTCATCACTTCAGTTTCACAGGATATAAACAGCACCATTTGTAAATTGGGAAAGCATCTGATCACACCAATCTTGGTTTGATTAGATAATGTAAGGGCAGAGGAGATATCTAGAGTCTGATAGAACCCAGATTTCTCAAAAAATAATATATGACAATGCCCATTGAAGTTATAGGGGACATTTGCATTTCCTGTGATAGCATTAAAAGTGATCCAAAAAAAAAAAGTACCCCCGCGCACATCTGTGTTCATGCGCGTTGACCCTGTGCCAGTATGGAAACATCGGTTGCACCATGCATGTGAGGAATCGCCACGATTGTCAGATTAAGGGCAGTAATTCTAACACTAGACCTCCTCTGTAAATCTAAAATGGTAGCTTGTAAAGGCTTTTAAAACATTGCCTATGGATATTAAAAATGTATGCAGTTTTTCACCATTGCATGGGGCATGTGCAGTTTTAAAGCATGTCATGTTTGGTATCAATTTACTCTGCATACCATCATATTTTATAGTTTATCAAATAATTGCCCAATGTTTTGTGTTTTTGTGCATTAAAAGTAAAAAAAAGTGTATTTTTTTTTAAATTGCGTTTGAAAAATTGCTGCGCGAGTACTATGTGACATAAAAAATTGCAGCACCCCCCCCCATTTTATTCACTAGGGTGTTTTCTTTAAAAATATATATAATGTTTAGGGTTTTAATTAATTAAACAAAAAGTGTCAGAAAAGGCTTGGTCTTCAGGTGGTTAGAAGAGTGAGTGATGTGTGGCATAAACTTCTAATGCTGGGCATAAAATGCCCCCATCCCCCAAAACGACCCCTTTTTGGAAAGTAGACACTCCAAGCTATTTGCTGAGAGGCATGTTGAATCAATGTTTTTTTTTTTTTTTTTTACACAAAATTGTCACTTAAATGATTTATTGCTCACACATGCCATGGGTATATGTGGAATTACTTCCCAAAATACGTTCTGCTACTTCTCCCGAGTATGGGGGTACCACATATGAGAGACGTTTTTGCAGTCTAGCCAAGTACAGGACCCCAAAATCCAATAAGCACCATCAGGCTTTTAACCGCCTCGGCGGTATGATTATTTCCGATTTTTTGTGCTGAAAGCGGTACCATTTGTTTGCATGGAAATATGTAGTTTTTTATTGTAGGCTGTAATTTTTAGGAATAACTCACTGAAATCTGTATGAACAAGAGTCTAGTAAACATCCCGGGTAGGATAAAATTTTAAACACGAAATCATAAATTATAATTTAATAAATAATCATAAAAAATAATAATATAATAATAATAAATTTAATTCAATAATATAATCAAACACTGAAATTTGAAATACAGAGGCAAATTTGCACATCGCTGAGCAAAGTCGCAAAATCGTTTTCAGTGTCTGATGACGAATTTCCCCACGAATCATTATCACTCAATTCTGCAAGTGGTTCTGATTTACTATCGCTGTTCTCTAGCTAGTCTAAAACCGCTTTTGACGTAAAGGGACGCTTTTTGGACGCCATGGACTTTTCTAAGTTTCCAGGCAGAAAGAACAGTCAAAATGCAGGCAGGGCACAGCACAAAGCAGTAGGGACAAAATGTATGTGAAATGCATTGAAACAGCAATGTTTTACTATGTAATAATCATTTTTTTAAAAATTACATTTTAAAAATTTCAAAATTGCCGCCGTCCGTACGTCCCGACGTCACAGGGACCGGAACACGGAAGCCGGATACCGGCATCGGCCGGAGGAGATGACCGGGGACGCTGCAGGGGACACATCGTGGGAGCGAAGGACAAGGTAAGTGCTGAAGGGACTCCCTGAGCAACGCCGCATGGTAAGCCTGAGTGTAGCTCGGGGTTACCGCTTTTGGTACTCAAATTTTACCCCGAGCTACACTCGGGAATACCGCTAAGGAGGTTAAAGGGCTTTATTTCTATTAAATATTATTTTAAATATTTTTTATTTAATGGGGTTTATTTACTAAAACTGGAGAGTCCAAAATCAGACTCCCTTCTGCATAGAAACCAATCAGCTTCTAACCTCAGCTTGTTCAATGAAGCTTTGGCAATGAAACCTGGAAGCTGATTGGTTTCTATGCAGAAGGGAGTCTGATTTTGGACTCTCCAGCTTTAGTAAATAAACCCCAATATGCCTCTCAGCAGATAGCTTAAGGTGTCTACTTTCCGAAAAGGGGTCATTTGGGATGTTTGTACTATCCTGGTATTTTAGCACCTCAAGAAATGTGATGGGCAGTCAGAAAGTAAAAGCTGTGTAAATTCCATTATCTATACCATAGTATGTAGATGCTATAACTTTCACACAAAGCAATAAATATACACTTATTGGGATTTTTTTTTAACCAAAAATAGGTAGCAGAATACATTTTGGCCTAAATTTATGACAAAATTTCATTTTTTTGGATATTTTTTATGACAGAAATGAGAAAATATTGTTTTTCTTTTAAATTTTTTTTCTCAAAACTTTTTTCGTTTATAGTGCCAAAAATAAAAAGCACACAGGTGATCAAATACCAACAAAAGAAAGCTCTATTTGTGTGAAAAAAGGACATACATTTCAATTATGTACCATATTGCATGACCGTGCAATTGTCAGTTAACCACTTGCCTACCGGGCACTTATACCCCCTTCTTTACCAGGCCAATTTTCAGCTTTCAGCGCTGTCACACTCTGATTGACAATTGCGCGGTCATGCAAGATTGTACCCATATGAAATTTTTATAATTTTTTTCCTCACAAATAGAGCTTTCTTTTGGTGGTATTTAATCGCCGCTGGGCACTTTACTTTTTGCGCTATAAACAAAAAAAGTGCAAAAAATTTGAAAAAAAAAAGTTTCTTTGTTTCTATTATAAAATTTTTCAAACAGGTAATTTTTCTCCTTTACTGATGAGCATTGATGAGGCAGCACTGATGGGCACTAATAGGCGGCACTGATAGGCAGCACTGATGGGCACTGATAGGCAGCACTAATGAGGTGGCACGGATAGGCGCCACTGATAGGCAGCACTAATGAGGTGTCACGGATAGGTGGCACTGATAGACAGCACTGACTGGCATCACTGCTGGGCACTGACTGGCGGCACTGCTAGGTATTGACTGGTGCAACTGCTGGGCACTGACTGGCAGCACTGCTGGGCTGCACTGATGGGCACTGGTGGGCACAGGTGGGTGGCACTGGTGGTTACATGTGGGTGGGCACAGGTGGGTAGCACTGCTGGGCACAGGTAGGTGGCACTTCTGAACACAGGTGTGTGGCACTGCTGGGTGGCACAGGTGGGTGCACTGCTGGGCACAGGAGGGTGTGCACTGCTGGGCACAGGTGGGCGCACTGCTAGGCACAGGTGGGTGCACTGCTGGGCACAGGTGGATGCACTGCTGGGCACAGGTGGGCGGAACTGGTGGTTGGCACTGCTGGGCACCGATCATCAGGGCACTAATCATCAGTGCCCTGATGATCGGTGCCGATCCCTGCTCTGACAACTGCCGGTTCTCGGCAGTACTTTCCTCACGCTCTGACAGCGTGAAGAAAGTGCAGCCGAGAACCGGCAATTGCATTTCCTGGTGATCAGCGTGTCATTGGACACGGCTGATCACGTGGTAAAAGGCCGCTGTGATTGGCCTTTTACCACATCACGTGATTAGCTGTGTCCATAGGACACAGCGATCACAGAGATCGCCGGGTGTGCGCCCCCGGAGGCACGCAGGAGAGTGCGTTCTGGGAGGACGTCATATGATGCCCTCCCAGAACTGGCCGGCCGCAGTGTAGCCGTCAATCGGCTATCTGCGGTCGGCAAGTGGTTAAACTAGTGAGTGCTGTATAGCAAAAAAATGGTGTAAATTGCAGTATCTATACCAGCAATGGGCAAACTACGGCCCGGCGGACCTTTTAATCCGGCCCGCGGAGCTAGGCTCCCACTAGGCTCCTCTCACAGTCCGCCCTGAAGACCGGTGTAGCATGAAAATCTGTCTCCAATGAGGTTCTGTCCCCCTCGATGTATCTGCGCATGTGCCGGAGATCGCCGATCGGCTGATAATGCCTGAAACTGGCACATGTGCAGATGCGTCGAGGGGGACAGATCCTCATAGGAGACAGATTTTCATGCTACACCGGAACGGCGCAGGAATACGGCGAGAGGAACGCGCGGAGTAAAGGTAAGTGAATTGACACAGGGGGGACTTGGGGACTTAATATGGGGGATGAATTAATATGGGGAATGAATTACTATAGGGGGGATGAATTACTATATGGGGGATGAATTACTATAGGGGGGATGAATTACTATGGGGGATGAATTAATATGGGGGATGAATTACTACGGGGGGGGTGAATTACTATATGGGGGATGAATTACTATGGGGGATGAATTACTATATGGGGGATGAATTACTATGGGGGATGAATTACTATATGGGGGATGAATTACTATGGGGGATGAATTACTATGGGGGATGAATTACTATGTGGGGGATGAATTAGTATATGGGGGATGAATTACTATGTGGGGGATGACTTACTATGTGGGGGATGAATTACTATAGGGGGGATGAATTACTATGGGGGATGAATTACTATATGGGGGATGAATTACTATGGGGGATGAATTACTATGGGAGATGAATTACTATATGGGGGATGAATTACTATATGGGGGATGAATTACTATGGGGGATGAATTACTATGGGGGATGAATTACTATATGAGGGATGAATTACTATGTGGGGGATGAATTACTATTAAGGCGGGTAAATCCTCTAGAGGGCAAGTGGTTAAGGAGGTAAGCGTCCATTGTACATAGACTGTATGCATACAAGGTGATACTCAGGAGGAAGATTTGATTCTTACCAACATATTTAAATCACTGATTAATGGACATAGTGATGGACATATTTTGATGTGTTATTTGTTGCGCTGCACCATTTTGTTTTTTTTTTTTTTTTTGTATGTGAGGTGAAATCACTATAGGTGTTATAGCTTGCAACACATATTGTTTATTTTTTGTTCGGAATGTGGATTGCAGATTGTTCCATATACTGTATTGTTTCGTTTATACCCCTCCTTTTCATTTGTAGAAATTGAAGAGAAGAATGTATTTAATACAGCTGCCTTCTCCCTGTCATTTGTGACCATTGTCATGTGCGGCACCTGAGATCACCAGCAGCTGTTTGTAATAGCAAACTATTCTTTATTAGTTCCTCCAAAACAGGTCAACAATAAAATAACTTTCTTGTAAAACAACCTATTCATTTTAAAATAGGAAAATGAAATGAAATAGAAAGAAAGGCATTACAAAAATATACATTTGTGTATATATTTAAATATAAATATATTTAAAAAACATTATAGTTACTTCCCATTCGCCTTTTTTTACCTATTTTCTCAGCTGCATAAGAATCTTAGAGAGCTGTTACTATATCCCCCATATAGTAATTCAGCAAAAAGTCAAACACACAGTTCACAATTCTAGCATAAAGGAGCCACACAACTAGCTCACTGCTCATCTCCTGGTCCACACACTGAGGTAGGTTTCTTCCATGTTTCAGGGTGCCGTGCAGACCACGGGGGTTCAGAAACAAGTGTCTCAGTACCAGAGCATTCACCTTGCTCACAGCTGGTGAACTCCTCCAGACTGCCTTACTGACACAGGTGTTGATTCCTTCCTGCTACCTTCGAAGACTCCCTTTGCTGAGGCTTAACCCCTTCAGGACCAGAGTCCTTGTTGTCAGGGTTTGTGGGTTCTTCCCTCCCAAAACTCTTCAAAACTCCGAAGTTTCTGGTCTCTGATAAGAACTTACCAATTCAGAGTACTGGAAATCAGACCTCTCTTTCCAACCAGATTACCCTGGAACCTACATGCGTAACGCCCGAGTACTCACCAAAGTTTTCAAACTGTCCCCCTTAATGGGACCACAACTCAAAAATGAGGGAAATATACCTGCCTTTAACCTCCCTAGCGGTCTGATTATGTCCATATTTCTGTGCTCAAAGCGGTACATTTTTTTGCATGGAAATATGAATTTTTTTATTGTAGGCCTGTAATTTTTAGGAATAACTCACTGAAATCTGTCCGAACAAGAGTCTAGTAAACATCCCGGGTAGGATAAAACTTGAAACACGAAATCATAAATTATAATTTAGTAAATAATCATAAAAAATTAATAATATAATAATAATACATTTAATTCAATAATATAATCAAACCAAAAACACTGAAATTTGAAATATAGCGCCAAGTTCGCACATCACTGAGCAAAGTCGCAAAATAGTTTTCAGTGTCTGATGACGAATTTCCCACGAATCATTATCACTCAATTCTGCAAGTAGTTCTAATTACCGCTTTTGACCTAAAGGGACGCTTTTTGGAGACCATGGACTTTTCTCAGTTTCCAGGCAGAAAGAACAGTAAAAATGCAGGCAGGGCAGAGGACAAAGCACTCGGGACAAATGTATGTGAAATGGTTTGATACAGTAATGTTTTACTATGTGATTTTAGTGAATGTCACTTTTTGTCATTTTCAAATTTCCCGCCGTTCCGTCCCCCGTACGTCCCGACGCTCACAGGGGACGGAACCCAGATGACAGATGCCGGAATTGGCCAGATTACATTGCAGGAGGGACATTGCAGGAGGGACATCGCGGGGAGCGCAGGACAAGGTAAGTGATCGAGGGATCGCGGAGCATTGCCGCATGGTAAGCCCGAGTGTAGCTCGGGGTTACCGCTTATGGTACTGAAACTTTACCCCAAGCTACACTCGGGAATACCGCCAGGGAGGTTAAGGACACACTCATGGTTTCCTGCACACCATCTATTTTAGCTGCCCTTATTGCTCTCTTACATTTAATATTGCCTTCTTTGTAGTTTTTGAATGCTAATGGTAACTGTTAGGTCTTATATTTTATAAAGAAAAGTTTGTTTTTGTATATATAGCTTTTTACCCTAGTACCTATTCCTAACTTTTAATTTTTTTATTGTTGCGCAGTGGAATGCTCTGTTGAATACTACTGTTTTATTTGTCCTTAAAACCTTCCCACTTTTATTCATTGTTCTTTGTTGCAATAAAGAGTGCAGCTTAACATTTTTTCAATCAATATCAAGATAGTTGATGCCCCCTACAATTGGGAGGGAACCCACAATTAATTTTTGTTTGTTTTACTTCTTTGAAGCTCCAGCTACAAAGACTCCATCCCTTCACTAGTCCCGTTGTTGAGGCCATCTCTCACATTCACTATCAGATCACTCTTGACATACAGGCCCACCTCTGCAACTCTTCTCTCTACCCTGTTCCTCTAAAATATATGTCCTCCATCTTCTTAATGTATCCCGTGTTATTTACAGTAGGTGGACTTCTAAGTGTGTGTGTGTGTGGTCCAAGTGAGGACACTGTGGGCAAGTTTATATGATCACAGGAAAGTGGAAAAAGGTGCACTGTGGTGATAATCTGGATTTTTTTTAACTTTAAGTAAAAATGTTTCCATGATTTTATAATGTCAAATTGACTTGGAACATATTTTTGTGAGTTATTTGGAATTATGTGCACTATTATGTTTGCATATACAGTAGTATGGTCATTTTATGGTAGTATTAGGATCAGTAACTTTAATTGAAAAAGCACTTCACTATATTGATTTATTAAGATAGTGATACTACTGCTAAATTAAAGATTTCAGGCTGCACCAGCTGAAGATTTGAGTGGGTACATTGGTCAAATATGTCACCTCATGCAAATCCAACATCAATAATCTCATGCTGTGACGTAGAACCCTGTCAATCAGAATGATGGGTGCCTGACACCTTAGATCAGCTGGCACGACAATGCTACCCTGTGGCTGCTCCCATTGTAAATGACAGTTTTCCAACACTGCTGTAATGTAGAAACAAAGTGCTGGGGAATTTGGGTGACATCATGCAAGCTTGTTTACAATTTCAAACAATGAAATTATAGCTAAATAAAAGACTTTAGGCTACATCAGCTGGAGGTTTGGGTGGATGAGCTAGCCAAATATGTCAACTTATGTAAATCCAACATTAATAACGTGAGAGCAGTGAGCATAATTATTTTAGTAGGTATACCCATTGTTTAAAACCCTCATACAATATTGGGTGTCATTTGTACTGATGCCTGTTAGTTCTCTGTGTTTGATCTTGTGGATGCCTTCTCTTGTATGCCTGCTTATAAAGATTCACAGTATCTGTTTGATTCCTTAAATGGTCAGCAGTATATTTAGACTAACCTGCTAAAAAACATAATTTCATTCTCCACTTTCAAGTCCACACCATCTGCAAAGTTTAGCCCTCCACAGTATTGTCAGCAGAAAGTCACCTTTCTTAGTCACTGCATTTCACAGGACACTTAAATGCTATGTCAACCCAAAATTTCATATTCCTGATATGCGCCTGCTGTACCATGTATTTGTATGAAAAAGCATCCTGTCCTCTTTATATTGCTTCCTTTGTGTGAAATCCCTGGTGTTCCTGCCAGTTAGTGTGCTTACCTATTAATATCTGACTACACTAGGCAGGGGACTACTGCTGCTTCTCCTCCAACAGCTCTCTAAGATTCTTATGCAGCTGAGAAAATAGGCAAAAAAAGGGGAATGGGAAGTAACTATAATGTTTTTTAAATATATACACAAATGTATATTTTTGTAATGCCTTTCTTTTCTATTTCATTTCATTTTCCTATTTTTAAAATGAATAGGTTGTTTTACAAGATGAGGGTTCACATATACTTTAACACATTGCTACAGACCAAATTTCTATAATTTAAAATGCAATTTATCTGCAGAGCCAAACAAATGAAGGATTTCCTGGGTTTAGTCAGGTACTGCAGGTAATGTGTAAGATAAAGTCTACAGGCTTAGAAAAATCCATATGTAAATGGATAGAAAACTGGCTAAAAGATCGTCTTCAGAGAGTAGTGGTTAATGATTCATACTCTGCATGGTCTAGGATTGTCAGTGGTGTACTCCAAGGTTCAGTGTTTGGACCCTTACTTTTTAATATATTTATGAATGATATAGGGTCTGGGATAAAAAATACTATTTCAGTCTTTGCATATGACACCAAGTTGTTCAGTGAAATAACATCCTTGCAGGATGTTTCCAACTTACAAGCTGGTCTCAATGCACTGTTTTATTGGGCAACTATGTGGTAAATGAGGTTTAATGTTGATAAATATAAGGTTATGCATTTGGGGGCTAAGAAAATGCATGCATCATACATACTAGGGGGAGTACAACTGGGGGAATCAATGGTGGAGAAGGATCTGGGAGTTCTTGTAGATCATAAGCTTAATAATGGCATGCAATGCCAAGCTGCGCTTTCTAAAGTGAGCAAAATCCTCTCTTGTACTAAAAGCGGTATAGACTCTGGAGAGAGAGATATCATTTTACCCCTCATCTGGAATATGCAGTTCAGTTTTGGGCACCAATTCACAAAAAGAACATTGGGGAACTGGAGAAAGTGAAAAGAAGGGCAACTAAACTGATAAGAGGCATCGAGAAGCTCAGCTGTGAGGAAAGATTAGAGGAACTGAATATATTATCTCTTGAAAAGAGGAGATTAAGGGGGGATATGATCAACGTATAAATACATTTGTGGTTCATATAGTAAACTCGGTGTAGAGTTATTTACCCTTAGGTCATCACAGAGGGCAAGGGGGGCACTCTTTACATCTGGAGGAAAAGATTTAATTTCCAAATACGGAAAAGTTTCTTCACAGTGAGAGCTGTGAAAATGTGGAATAGACTCCCTCAAGAGTTGGTTCTGTCCAGCTCAGTGGATTGCTTTAAAAAGGCCTGGATTCTTTCCTAGATACAAATAATATAACTGGATACTAACATTTATAGATAAAGTCCAAGGAATATCTGATTGCCTTTCTGGGGTTTAGAAAGGATTTTTTTCCCCTGCAGGAGCAGATTAGATCATGCTTTGTTGGGTTTTTTTGCCTTCCTCTGGATCAACTGTGAGTATAGAATTATGGTTGAACTGGATGGACTTTTGTCTTTTTTCAGATAGACTAACTATGTAACTCACTATGTAGCTGAAATGAAATGGTGAAATGGAACATCCCATAAATCCTCCCAGTGAATTTAGCCTTTTTAGGGTCCTTTCATACTGAACACAGTGTAATGCAGTTGGCTGCATTTTAGACTGCACTCCAACTGCATAGAAAATCCAAAATCCAGGATATCCTATGGGCATAATTCACACTATTGCAGTGCAGAAAAATACAGCATGCTGTATTTTTCCACATCGCAAACACGCAAAAACATGTGCAAATGCACTGCAAAGCTTCACATAGAAGCCCAAGGAAAGAAAGAAGAAAACATGCAGTTACTAACAGTGTCTGGTGTGAATGTTCCCTAAATGTTGCCCTTAAAGTACGAGGTGGTATCAAAAAGTTTCAAGACTAGTTTTATAATACACCAACAGGTGGCAGCCCACCAGGTGACGCAGCTGCAGGGAACACCGACCTTCATAAGTCAGTGTACCAAAAAACATCATCCACTGTACATTGGGAGCTGTGCAACTGGTGCTATTCTGACCATGTGCGTTACCATATCTGATATTTCATCATGGACAGCAAAGAGCAAATGTGAAATTCTGGATGAAACTGGGCAAATCTGTCACAGGTTTGACATGAATCGTTTGACATGATTTAACGTTTGAGGTGTTTTCAAGGTGTTTTGAGTGGCACACGTGCCCAAGAGAGGAAGTACATTACTGGAAAACAGCAAGAGATCAGGAAGACCATCAACAAACTCAATCCCCAAAATGTCGAAACTATTTGGCAACTTGTGCATGATGATCGTCAGAGAACAATCCACAACAATGCTGCCATTGTCAGTGTGTCATATGGAACAGTCCAGGCAATCTTCCCTGCACCCTGTCATCGAGATTTCCTCACACGTGAATTTCAAACAACATGATCTCACTTCCACACCCACCCTACTTGCCAGATTTGGCTCCTGCTGACTTTGCCCTCTTCCTGAAGATAAAGATCCAACTCAAGCGTCACCATTTTAACAACTTTGCAGAGATCCAGAGCGAATAGCAGAAGGTTCTTGAAATGCTTTGAAAAGACTTTCAGGACACATTCCAGAAGTGTCAGAAACTCTGGGAGCAATGTATTTCTATACAAGGAGACTATTTTGAAGGTGATAATGTGTAAATGCAGATAAATAAAGTGCTTTCTTGTAAATAGAGGTAGTCTCAAAACTTTTTGATACAACCTTGTATTATTAAAAACATTGCTCTCTGCCAAACTGAACTTTCAAACATGTTTTTGCTTTGGTACATGCTCTTTAAGGCAGAGCAATGTCACACATACCAATTGTTTGACAATACCTTGCCTATTACCTGTAAAATAGCCATTATTAACATTACATAGTCATATAATTTATAAGGTTGAATAAAAGACACAGGTTCATTCAGTTCAGCCTATGTGTGTGTTTGTTCTGGTGATTTTATTCTCTGACATTTGCCATAGCCCTGTATATTCTGCTTGCTGAGGAAGATATGTAGAACTTGTTTGAAGTTGCTGACATGCTCAGCTAGTACCCATTCCTGGGGGAGAGAGTTCCACATTTACTGATCTAACAGTAAAGAACCCTTTCCTCAATCTAAGGTTAAATCCCTTTTCTACTAGCCTCAAATAATGCCTTTTCTACTAGCCTCTACTGGGACCTTAGAATAAACAGTATATCACAGATACTGAAGTTACCTTTGATATATTTATACAATATACTGTATTTATACTCATTAAGCGTCTTCAC